CCCTCCCCAGGCCTGTGCTGCTCTCTGTCAGCAACCTTAGAGCCTGCCCTGTCCCTAGCCGCAGGCAGCCCAATGGAGCAGGTCTTTGCTCCACCTACGGAAATATTTACATGGAGTTGGGCCAAGAAAACCCCTTGCTTGAGTTTGGGGTTGGCCCACACCCAAAGGCAGAGGGGCTGGTGGGGGCAGGGCGCGGGGATGTGGTCACCTTTTCCCAGTGTCAGGATGTGACTTCTAAGATCCAACCCATGCGGTGGCCTGCTGTGCAAAAGCCCCATTCTCTGCCTGCCTCGTGCTCTAGTGAGTGGGTTTTTCTAGGCTCCTTCTGTCAGAAGGGAACCACTGAAGTCCATTTTTATTGCAGCTGTTGTTACCAGCTTGGAATTTGTTCACCTCTGTGGCAGGTTCAAGAGAGCTTCTAGAAGTCAGGCCTGGTGATGGGGCTGCCCTGGACCTCCATGCCCACCCTACGCCTGAACGCCTTTGTCTGGGAACTGTGCCTACTCAGAAGGGGAGTCCTGAGTCTCTTGATGTTTATTTACTTATTAGAAAAATACTTCATATTTGAGGTCCCTAAATAAAAAGCTCAAATGGTCAGTCTTCCTGGATTACAAAGTAACATATTCCAGTAGAGGAATCCATAAAGAAAGAAAGAAGAAAAATATCCCAGAATCTCTTCACCCAGAACTGATGGTTTTTTGGAGGTATTTGGGGGTAATTTGGGACTATTACCTTCTAGCTCTCTTTCATTGGCTCTAGTCATTAAAAATATTCCTAAAGAACATGTTCACCCTCTTTCCCAAATACCACGGGCCCCCAGAGCCAAACACAGGCTCTGCCTTGAAGCCCAGCAGTCTACCAGGAGGTAAGCTTTATCCTTGGCCTTTTGCGAAAGGTGATGAATTTTATTTGTCTTTTAATATCAACAATTGGGCAAACTCCTCTATGCAAAGGTTGAAGCTGCACCTAGAACTCAGGCTTCAGGGGGACAGAGTGTTCCTGACATTGGGGTCCTGGAAAGAGAGTCCAGAAGCACACGGATGGCCGTGCTGCTCCCCACTTTCCAATCCCTGTATCATGGCACACAGTGGGGACCCCCAAGCACTCACAGAGAATGTGGGTATGAATTGTTTTTGGAAATTGACCAGAAAGAAAAACTGAGCCCCTCACCCAAGCACTTAAATGCCAGACTGAAGAGGCTAGACTTTATTTTGAAGGCAAAATTGAGTTTCCGAGGGTTGTTACTTTGGGAGCAATGGGTCAGTGTGCACTGTAGGAGTCCCAGTCAATTACAGGACCCTACAAGATGGCACTATTGTTTTATTTGATTGTTTCCCCCAAATCCTTAACTGCACGAGGTTGTTTTGTACCTTACAGGAAGCATAGAGGTTGCACCTGACATGTCAGGCTCCTATCCCAAAACAGCCCCATGGGAAGACCCTCTGTATGCTCTGCTGCTTCTCTGACTTCCGCTGAGGTCTAAGAGGGGATAGAAGGCGGATGGGAGGGAGGTGTGATATGGGGTGGGGGTCAGAACTGCCAGAGGCTGGCGTTGGAACCAGACAGGAGGAACGCAGTAGCACCAGCTGTGACTCTAGTCACCTGTGGGAAGTACAGAAGGGGCTGGAGAGATCACTGGGGAACACCACCATTTTAGGGGTACCCGGAAGACTGATGTGACCTGTTAGAGGCGCAGGCACTCAGGGGATGCTGTTTTGTAAGCCCTCAGTAGGGTTTTTGAGAGGAGAGCTGGGAAATAGATATAGGAGGACTTTGTTTTCATTTCCTGGCTGAATCTTAGGATGTTTGTACACTTGCCCACAAGCATGTACATGTGGATAGGAGACTGCTCGCATGGCTTTTGAGGGTTCCCAAATATGAATTAAAAAAAGAAGAAAAATGTGTGCTTTGAATTAGATCTACATGAAAAAAAAAAAAGGCAGCAGGCTAAGCCATGCGTTTGGGACACTGGCTCTCCTCCAGGGCTCTTCAGGGGAGCTGGGTTTCAGCGTGTTCAGAAGGCAAGTGAGCCATTTCCCAAGCGTGGATTTCCTTCTCTGTTTTGCTCTATAGATTTGACTCTGAGCCCTCAAATGTCCTTTCTGAGCAGGTAAAGCATGTGCGACACGGCTTGGATTGAGAAACAGCTTGGATCCAAGTATCACCATAGTCTGGCCCTCTCAAGTTATTTCCTCCATTGCTTTGGACCATAGCATTTAAAAAGTCAGGTTCTGAGCTCCAGAAAAGCCAACAAAAACACTTAAACATATGGATATATATACATATACATATATATATTTTTTAATCATGGCTAAGCCAGGCTCAGTAGAGGTTAGTTTAGGGCAGTCTTTTCTTTCTCTCTCTGCCTTTTTCCTCCTATCTTTTTCTTCCTTGCTTTCTCTTTTTTAGGAAGCCAGGAGGTAAACATGTTGCCATGGAGTCCTGTCTAAAATAAAAGACAATGGAAAGAAAAGCAGCCCGATGAAGTAACCACATGGACCGCAGGATACACCTGATACTAATTACGGTCATGCAGAATGTTCTGGAAGACATTTGACTCGCCTGATGTATACATTCAAATCAAGCAAAGCAGGACTGGAAAGCTCCTTGGGGACCCTCTTGTCCAACTCTTTCCTTTTTCCAGATGAGGAAATAGGGGCCCAGAGAGAAGAGACTGGACCTTAGCCTCCCAGCTAGTAGAGAGTAGAACTGGGATTCAACCCCCACCCCCACGCCATCACTTTTGTAGGAAACACATAATTTTCAGCGTCCTTTACCTCGGCCTGCCAGTAAGACCCTGAACAAGAGGGGCACAGTTTACTGTTAAACTCTGAGCATCAGGCCTGGGAGCCAGGGAGCCCAGAAAAGAAGCGGAGAGGATGGCTGTGCTGGAAGGCCTGAATTTCCTGTTGGGGGCCAGGCCTTGGGGAGAGAGATGCGCCTTGGACGTCTGGAGTTCCTCCTTCCAGGGCCTCCGAGGGGCACCAACCAGGCTGGGGCTCTTCCCAGAGTATCACCTCCTGTCCTTTAGGGGCCGAAGGGCTGACACCATGAGGCACGGTCTCCGAGACGGCATCCAGGGACCCCGAGTAAGTGACTGCTGACGCTCTCTGGTGGCCGCTTCCGCTCCCACGCAAGCCTCCCACGCGCGGAGGGCTAGCGGGAGCCCCGGTGACAAGGCGCACCCCTTGCCTCTGCCCTCGAGAGGCTAGCAACCGGGCCCGCCAGCCTCTGATTGGCCGCGGGGGCCTGACGACAGGGACTCCTGGTCACCGATTGGTCCGGGCCGGCTCCGGCTGTTTCCTAGCTATTAATACCGCGGCTAATAAACGTTCTCCTGTTGACAGGGATGCTTGGAGCCATGATTTTTCGGAAGCTTTCTTGACATCCGCGGCTGGTGCGGGCCTTTCCGTCTTGGGAATCCTGCTGGGGGGCTCTAGTCTCTGGGACTCCTTGCGCGCTCCACAGGCTGTAAATGGGCTGTTCTCTTTCTACCTCACATTACGTGACACTTTCATTAAGGTGGTTCCCCGCGTTGCCGCGCGAAGCCCACTTTATCTTCATGTCGCCGACAGCGCGCCTTCTCATCGATAACCGAGACCCCCGGCCCAAGGCTCGGGGTCTTGCGTTCGCTGGTGGTCCATTTTCACCTCCCTCTCACTACCTGTGCAATTGCAAATAGCTCTGTCCCTTCTTTGCAGCCTCGCCTGTATCACAGCCACCTTGCAGCATCGCTGGGTAGGGGGCCCTCGCTCTGAAGGGCTTCGAGCCCCGCCGCTCCCCACCCCCAAGAAATGCGGGGGAGCGGTTCAAACCTGGTACCCACGCGGGCCCCTCTGCCTTTCCCCTCTGGGACCCGTCACTCATCCTCACCTCTCTTCTGTCACCAGGCGCTTCATCCTTGCCCTCACGGCTGCCACCCACCTGTCACCCTAAGATAGATCCTTAGTCCCTTTCAACAGGATTTTGACCTTTGCGAGAGGACATTTGATTGACGGCCCTGCCCGCTTTGCCACTCAGTGCCCGGCAGAGCTGCCGAAGGCGCCACCTGTTAAGGATTAAATCTCATGTGCCAAGTCCCGGAGCACGAGGCCGTGCAGCTATGCTTTGCCTCAACATGTGTCGCTGCCTGTTTTCCGGGGCGGCGCGGGGACGGGGGGTGCTTTTCAAAGTGTACATGTGGGTAGATCACCTCAATTTCAGAGGGTGGTACCCCATGCATCTCCGTGTGGGACAGTCCTCCTTGAAAAGTACTTTCCCTAGAGGGACACGGCTCATTTCTAAATTTTTATTACATTGCAGATTAGGGGGTACCCCCTTGTTAATGTGAGGAAACGGAACCCCTGGCCGAGGAAGGCACATTGCAGATTTCTGGGTACACAGGTTGCAAGCCGCAGAGCCGCAGACTCAAAACCCGGTTTTTCTGACTCTTGAGATGCTGAATCTTCTATGTTAAAGAAAACCAATCAGAAATGGGTGGGCTAAATGGGGGTGACAGCCGAGGACTTACATTTGGGTACCTGTTATCTTGCCTGGGGTATGTTTATTTTCCAGGACAATAAGCAGAAAGCATCATTGCCTTTCCCTAAGCCGGGTCCCCTGGTAGAGGTTCCGAAATGGCCAGGTGCATGACCTGCTGTCCCCAGCACCCCAGCTTTACCCTCGGCGCGCCCGAGGAAAACCACCCCTTGTCCGGTTCTCCCCGCAAATGGTGCAGACAAATTGCCCTGCTTGGCAAGCAGGGCTCATGTAGGGAAAAAGCACCAGCGAACACAGGGTGTTGGTCATGGCGGCGCGGGGCACTGCGGCAGAATTTTTTTCTCCCTTCTTTGCTGCAATCTGGGTGCGGCTAGAGCAATTTGTCATAGAATCTGGGGGGCTCATTTTTCCGGCCAATCACTTTTGGAGAAATGAGCGCATTGCAGCAGAATGCGCTGACGTCAGAGACCACCCCTTCTGCGCCTCCATATAAACCCCACCCAGCCAGCCCCTAGCGCAGACGGCGGAGAGCTGCGATGGAGTGCGCCTTGGCCCGCTGGCCCTGGCTGCAGCTCCTCGGGGGAACCCGGGCGCCCACGCGAGACTCTGCCCACCTGGTGAGTGGTTGGCCATCCTTGCCTGAAAGGATGTGCAAAAGGAAGACTACACCCCCTTCTGGGTGGGCTGTGTTCTCCTGGACATGCTGAAAGACAGACACCGGGGACCTTCTGCACCTCGTCTGGTCCCCGATGGTTGGCAAAGAAACTCTGCCAGTCTGGGAGATCTCGAGGCACATTTTCCTTTGGGGGCGGGGGGGCGGCGGCGGAAATCAGGGTCCCTTTCTTGTCCAGTCCTTGCGCTTGAGGATAGGCAGGTTGTAGGGGTTTAAATTAAGGTGAGTGGGAGGAATCATATCAACCCCCTGTCGGAATCCAGTGTACCTCAGTCACTGGTGTCCAAAACTCAGATTTTCCGTGTTTGAAGCCACCTTTGAAATAATGAATGGTGGGAGATACGGCGGCGGATGCATTCTGCATGCCCCATGATTTAGAGGGGAAAAGCCCCCGAAAAGAGAGTCTTCCCCTGTTGGTTTTTGGCCTGGTTTGTGGTCGCCTGTAGGTGTGAGGAGTAGAGGTTCCTGCCTGTGAGGGATTCCGAATCCAAGTACATACGTTTGGTGCAGAGCAGACACCAGTGAAAATTTAGAGTAAAATTTCTGATAGTAACTGGTTTCACCCTGATCAACCACTTTAATAGTGGAGAGATATGGCGCCCCAGTGCAAACCTGCCAGAAGCCCCCTAGGATCAGTGCTGTAGGGAAACGGCTAGGAGGAGGGTCAAGTAACTGGGGGTGCAGGCAGAACAGAAGCAGGGGGTGGGTTGGGGTTGATAGAAAGCCGTGTCTTTGGGTCTTGGAAAGGCGGATCAAGAAGGAAGAGAGGAATACAGGAAAGGGGGGCGTGTTGGGGGTGTCTAGGCCCTGGAAGCTGGGCCTTGGGGGTGGGGATCTTTTCAGCATTGCGTGATGGTCACTGGAAGATTCTGACATGTTGCGGGTTTTGACTTTTGATAAACTCACCTTTTGCCATTTCCTTTGTCCCTGTCAAGCCCCCCAAGCCGCCCCCTCCTCACTTTGGGCCGATGGGCTTGGGGGGTGCACGACGAGTGGGTTGCTACGTGGCAGGTTTCTGGAAGGTTTAATCGGTGGCCACCAGAGGGCGCTAGTGGCACTGCGGAATTTTGGGGGGCGGGGTGGGGAGGGGAGGTGGCCTTTGTTCTCCTGCTGGAGGGGGTCGGTCGCGGGATTTACTGGAGAATTCTGGATTCATTTACCCGAGAGGGAAATGTTTGAGGATCCCCGGATTCACTGGGGAGCAGCTGTAGGATTCGCCTTGGGCCGAGATGCTGCGATCCGCACTGGTTGTGTGATGGGTTTCTGTGGAAGAGCGTGGACGCAGATTAGTTTATTTCGGTTAGTTTTGGTTTTGAGGGTCCTCGGAAGGTGCTGGCTCATTTGCGTAGGATGAAGAGGCTGTAAAATGGTTAATTAAGGTGCTGTTGTGCCGGGTCTCGAAATTCTTGATAGGGGAAGAGGTGAGAATTGAGGGGGTGTCGGTGGTAGTCTGAATGACTTCAGGCGGGTTTGGCTGTCTTTATATTATTTTCTACCAATACTGTATTTTGTATTACGTGTTCAGAGACCACAAAAAATGAATGAAAATGTACTGAGAACTGATCCTCTATAATTTCAATCAATATCTGTTTAACTGGAATGTTGAACCCAAGATTTCGGTGTCCTTACTTTGTAAAAGTGGAATGGTGGTCTGGGAAGACCCTCAGGGCGAGTGTCTCCTTGTTATCTTACTGTCTCTGTGGAGCAGGGTGACCCTCACAGTTGGGGCGGGGGGCACAGAAGACCCCGGGACGTGTGTGCAGGAGGGGTGCGGCCCCATGTCCACAGGTGGATTCTAGCGTGTGATGGTGGGCGTGGCGTTACTGGACACTGTGGCCCGTCGCGATGGGCTGGGGTGGGCTGTGCCTCCCCCTCCTAGCCTGAGACCTGTTGGGCGCCCCCCGCCCACCGATGCCAGCTGTGTCCTTGGCAGATGTGGGCCTGGAGTGGAGGCTTTCGCTGCGCGCGCGCCGCAGGTGGCAGTGCGCTCGGGCTCTGAATGGAGGGGGCTGGGTGCGCGCCCCCTAGTGGTCTGTGCCTGTAAATGGCTCAATTTGCTAATCCGGATTTGAGGTTAAGCATGCGCACACAGCTAACACTTGTGCCCTGTCAATCAAATCTTCCTTACCCCCTCCCACTTCTCTTCCTCCTCCCACTTCCACCTCTTTCGCTCCTTCCCCTCACATTTCTTCTCTCCTTCCACCTCTTCCCATTTCTCCTCCTTCCCCATCCCCTCCCTGCTTCCTCCTCCCTGCTTTCTCGTCCCCTTCCCCTTGCATCCCCTCCTCCCGCCTCCCCCCTCTGTGGCCTCCATACCCCCCACCCTCCCTCCCTCTCTTTGCTGTTCCTGAGCTGGCCGTTAGAGGTCCTCAGGATGGTTTCTTACCTGGCCCCCTCCCATGCCATGGGGTGTCTCTTCAGGGATGACATCCCCTGCTCACCTCCCTGTCTTCAAGGACCACCTCTCCATGCCAGGGCTGCTGCCAAGGTGCTTGCTGCCCACCACCGCCTTATGGTACCCCAGCCCCTCCTTGTGGCAATGCATATACAACATGGCAGATTGACTCCCCACCCTGCCATTCTCCTTACTCTACCCCTAGACCTGTTAGCCATTAAGAGACCACTGTAAATTTTAACTAATTAGCTTTACTTGTAATTAATTCGTTTACATTTTAATTAATACCTAGACTTGGGCTTTTAAGCGGGTCCTCTAATCTTTGATTAATTGCAGAGGACGCTAGGAGCAGCAATCCCTGGACCCCACCAGCATACAAAGCAGCCACTGGCAGAGAGCCCCCAGGACCCGGTGGTGAAGGATGAAGAGGACCAGAACTGACCAGGTGGCTGTTCCTCTTGCTAACGGCTTAAACCCATGCCCTAGTGAGGGGGCACTGGTCATTAACCTCTGACCTTTGCTATGCTTATGCCTTGTTTCTGTGAAAACTTTCCTATGAGTCTCTGCTTGTGTTAATGTGCCAGTGACCTGGAACATTTCCCTCCCCAAGGGGGTGTCAGTCTTTCTCAGCTGACACTCTTATTGCCCGTGTGATGTCCTGAATGGAAGGCTCCCTTTGGGAACTTTGCAGGAGGGGGACCTGGGCCAAGGGCTCAACCAACATCTCCCTGGCAATCCCAAGGCCCATAGTGGGCTTCTGGAATAAGCGTGAGCCCTAGCACCATGGTACTGACCTGCTAAGGGCATCTCCATCTCTTTGGAGATCTCCCTGGTCTTTCTGTGGAATGGGACAGGAAGAGCAACCTCCCAGGGTTGTTGTGAGTATTAAATGAGATAACGGCAGACTTGGGCAGGGCCAGGCATAGAGGAGGCGGTCAGCAAATATCTGTTGAAAAAGTTTGCTAGGTCACCCCATTCCCAGGACTCTCACTTGTCTCACACCTCTTATTCTCCAACAGCACCCTGGACAGCCCTGATTCATGGGGCTCTCCTTGCGCCAGGTAGGGACTCCACCAACATGGGCGTTGGTCTCACTTGAGCAAGAACATGTTGCATGAGTTATGCATGTGGTCATTTCCAGAGCACTTTCTCTGTTCTATGAATATGTCATTTCTACATCATTTGTACACGTGAATGAGGCAGCCTCATTTACAGATGAGAGTGAATTCTGCATTGATTAGAGTACTTTTAAAAAGGTGGATGGGGAAGAGGACTCAGGAGAACTGTGCGCCCCTCCCATGGGACAGGACAAACTCAGTTTACAGTGAGGATGCTGAGACTGGAGGGATGTGAGTGTTTGCTCACATTGCTGGCAGGAGGGGGAGGGGTCAGGTTTGGACCCTGGGTGCCATTGTAGCTGCCCCTTACCTGCGTGGTCCACAGTTACTTGAAGAGTCTTGGTTTCCCATCAAACATTTGACAGTGAGTCTGTTTGAAATCTCAGCTGCTCAGGGTGGTCTTGGGGGTCTGGGTGGCCCCAGTGCTGGTGCCATGTGCTAGCTCTGCCTCTCAATGATGGTGTGACCTTAAACAAGTCACTTAACTTCTCCCAGTCTCAGTTCCTTTCATGGTCTAAACGGGGATTAAAAAAAAAACACCCATATTTAACTACCCCACAGGGCACTTTTGAGACCAAGTGAAGTAACTACTATGAAAGTGCTTTGTAAATTGCTGTGGAAATTGCAAGATGCTTACCACCTGGGGGGTAGCCCCCTCGTTGTACACAGCTAGCACCCTTGGGTGCTGTGTGTTTGCACTCAATAAGTAAATTCCAGAATAAATAAAAACAAAATTAACTCGACAAACATTTTCTGGAACCCCGACAATATGCCCCGCACCCCAGGCCTGGCATGTGGTACCCAAGATGATGAAAACAGTCTCTTGGAAGCTAATTGGGGTCCTCATTTGACCAGCACTTTCTTTCGTCCCCTTTTTAGACAACCAGTTTTGTCCGGACAAGACAAAAACAACTCAGGCCGCTTTAGAGAAGCCCAGCTTGGTGTAGACAATAGCTGCTGGGCATCTGAAAGGGGCTGATTGGATTAAGTGGCAAATGAAGGTGGAAGGGTGACTTGGAAGGTGACAAATGAAGTGGGCGGAGATCTGCTTTGAGTTAATCCAGGCTATTAGGAGGGAACCTTTTGTCTTCCAGAGGTTGGCAGGAGCTTTTACCACTGGTTTTAACATCCTTAATGTAAGGGCGCATAATTTATGGTCAATGAAAATCCAGGCCCCAGTGAGGTTTGAGTGGGCTGTAGAATTGAGCGTCCTGCTACCAGGGAGTAATTACAGTGAACATTTATGTCTCCCTTTGCAGTTTGCAAAGGCCCTTTGCAACCATTAATTCATTTGAACCCCACAACTCCCTGTCTTGACCTGGGGCTGGCCTGCCGCCTCCTAGGGGAACAGAGGCTGTCAAGCGGCCCTTCAGATGAGGGCCCCACAGCACATTTTGAGCCCCCATTGCCTCTGGGTGGCAAAGGAAGGGAAGTCCTCCATGCTGGTGCGTCCTCTCTCAGACCTGGACCTTCTGCCGCTCGTCATTCCCTCTGAATTCCCAACTGTGCTCTCTGCACAGTCGGGAACCTCCCAGGCCGCATCCTGCCCCCTTTCTAGCCACTACAGTCTCTCTCTTTCCTTTCGCAGCCAAGCTTCTCGAAAGGCCTATCTACACTTGCTGGCCTCCTTCCTCACCTTCATCTTCCTCTCCAACCTGCCGCTTCCCGACTTCCTGTTCTGCGTCATCAAACGGCTCTCACGAAGGTAATGATCTTTCTGTAGCTTAACCCTGGGCACGTTTCCTGCTCATGGACACGCGGACACACAGACACATTTCCGTTTTTTCCCTCGTGTGGCTTTTCAGCACTGGTTGACTTCTACTGACATACACTCCCTGTAGACCTCACCTTCCCCTGCTCCTGGCTTCCCACTTTCTTAGTGGCTCCTGGGAACTTGAATATCCAGATGTGTCAGTTTCTGGAAACTGCCTCCTATCTCACCCTGGGTAGAGTGCTGGCTAAACCACCTGGTGCATGGGATAGGACAGTTTCTTTTCACTGCCAAATAGAGTTAATAATCTTTACTTGGCAGGTTAGATGGGATATCTTGCAGGTAAAAACCAGACACTATTTCAGGGACTTGAAATAAGGTCCATAAAACGTCATGAGGAAATACAACTGGAATCCCCATCAGGTCATTAGATTTTTTTACAGGTTAAGTTCCCGTGGGGAGGACCAAAGAGAAGAAAGGAGCGCGGGGTAGTGGGGTGGGAGAGAAACACGAAAAAAATGAGAAAAGGCACTAAGGACATAAAAAGTAGGGAAGGGAGACTTAGAAAGTATTAAAATCTACCAAAAACAACCCAAGAAATGTTTTCTCTTGGTCATGTTGGGCTAAAAGAAAGTAAACAGGAAAAAGGTCTTAAATTGATTATCCCAGTGACAAATCCCAGGAAGCTTTCAAATCAAATTGCCCCATTTCGGGCTTTTAACTCCATCAAGTTTAACCTCTTTACCTCCTGCATCCTGGTGAAACCCTCCCCAGCCCTCTTTGCTGGTGATCAGACCCCCAAGGTACACGGAATCCTTCAGTGAATGAAGGGCCCTCCCCCACCCCTCTTTCTATGTTTTTCAGTTCTATCCCACTTTCCGCCCTTGTCCCTTAATGAACACACGGCTAATCTCAGGCCTTGTCAGGGAAGAGGCTGCACACGCTAATGAGGTGGCTGCCGGATTCCAATATTCATCTCATAAGGAGCCTTCTTTGTCTGTGAAGGAAAAACACACTGATTATCATAATGAGCTGAACTGGCGTCCGCAGGGCAGGGGCCTCAGGGGTCCTCAGGCCACACTTCTAATTTTGGTGCCAGAGCAGAGGTTTCATTTGCTTCTCGTTTAAGTCTTCGCCTCTACCCCAGCACGGGGCCCATTGAGCGGGCTGAAGGCAGCTTTGGGAGGCAGGCCGCAGGTAGGTCTGTGTGCAGGATTTCTTTGTTCCATTGTACATGGGCCAGGGCGTGTACAGTGATGCAATGGGCCAGGGTGACTCCTGCCTCTTGGGTGCGTGTCTGTCAAGAGCTGAAGAATGGTGTGCACATTTCCAACTCAAGCACACACCTGGCTTGTTGCAGGCCCCTCCGAACACTAAAAACTTCTTAAGAATACTGAATAGTAGAAAAGGCCCATGTCACAGGCATAGAACCTGGGGAATTATCACAAACGAGACCTGTCCAGGTGAAGGTACGGATGGTTATTGGCCCCGGAAAGGGAATGGTTTGTAGTTCGTTCACATTCGGCTCCCACCTACTGCTGAGAGGTTCCGAGGGCCAGCTGTTTGCCAGGATCACTCTGAGCCAAGTGCAGAGGGGACACTGCAACTCAGATCTGGCATCCAGACCTACCGCCACTCCTTTAACACCCCAAGACCCCCACCGCCCTTTTGTGCCTTGCTCCGCCCAAAGGCCACCACCTGTCCTGATGCTAGAACTTCCAGGGTCCATCGTGTCTCTCAAGCAGGTATGCCCTGAGTCTGGGACTTGACCTTCTGTGTCCTGAGTTCTGGACATTTCTCACCCCAGGCAGATCAATCAAGATTGGATCACTCAAGATAAGCTTCAGGCTGTAGCCAGACCTTCAGCCAAAGGGAAGAAAACTAAGGGAGAAACAAGGTGGTTGGAGGAGGAGAACTTCATTAGAGACCCTTAGGCCTCCTGACTTAACTTACCTGTTGGTTAAGAGTTCTCTGGCATCAAGGATCAGAATTAGACACTCTAGTTAGCAAAACCGACTCTTTGTCTAGCACCCCCAATACAAATGTCAGAGGGTGTCCAGGTGACCTGCTCTGAAAATAGGGACCCCACCCAAACCTGCCCCTTTCTCCTTGCAGCAACCGGAGAGTAAAAGAATAGTTCCTGCTGTCCTAAACGATCAAGACTTGTTAGGAAAAGTATGATCCATAATCTCTTCTCACCTTTAAACGCATACCGATAATTAATACAAGGCCAAAAGTCAGTATTCCAGCATTTGAGAACCTGGAGGTTCTCAATTACAGGTTTGGTGGAAGGCATCAGTTGGCTCGTTTGGGGTTTTACACTCCTTCCAGAAACCCTTAAAGTGCCTGGCACGTGGCCAAACACACTCAGCGCACTCTTGCTTGAGTTGCAGGAAACCAGGCAGCTGTCTTAAACTTTCCTGAGGCCACCGGCAGAGGGGTCCAAACTAACTGCTCCCTGGAATATGGGGCTGGCCTAATAGAGCTCATTTCCTTATTCCTGTGGGACCCCTGCACCCCAATTTCCAGCCCAGGGTCTAGCTAGCTGGCTTCTTCTGTTCACCCCCTGGCCCCAGAGCCTGTCCTTAAGTCAACTCTAGAGGCTCAGGAGACGTGGGAAAATGTGGCTCAACCAGAATGAAAATTCCAGGGTGACTGTGGCCGGAACATGTCTCCCCTGCCCAGTTCTGCCGGGTCCCCGTCTCTGCCCTCCTCCCCTGTGCCTCTCCTCGCCCACTCTTCACCATTTCCTAATGCAGCCCTCTGGGGTGCCCTAGACCAGCCCACATCTCCTTTGGGTGTCCAGCACCGGCCTGGCACAAAGTGGGGCTTGGTAAGAGTATGTGGGTTGGTGGTTGGACAGCTGAGTCAATGAAGGACCTCGGCTGCCGTCCCTGGGCTGCTGGATGGGTGTTGGTGGCAGTGCAAGGAGCTTTAGGGCCAAGGGTGGATTTGATTTCCCAAGAGGAGCGCGCTTTTCGTCTCATCCCTTCATTCACTCATGCGTCTGTCCTGACATCCAACAGTTGATCCTTACTGAGTAAGCCCATTGCCCAGCCTGGGCTTGGCACCTGCCACACTAGTGTACCCCTTGATAGCCTCTGTCTTCCCCTCACCAGGAGGGCGGGCAGGGTTTGCTTCTGCTGAGGGCGGTCTCATGGCTGTCCCAGGGGCTGGAGCTGCGGGCTCTGCCTCTTAGACACATCAGGAGAGTCAAGGCGCAGGCCTGGTCTTCCCCTTCAGCCTGTCAGCTCCCGCGACCTGGAGGAGCCCATCTCAGGGCTCTGCTGCCGGCCCGAGCCAGACGCTCCTGCCCTCCATTCCTCCCCGCATCCTGCAGCTGAGGCTGTTCTGAGCTCCTGGCCCTGCAGCTCAGGACCGGGGTGGGAGTGCTGACCACAGGGGCAGCTGTGGTGTGTGTCCTGGGCTCTGGCCACACGGGTCTCCCTCCTGAGTAAGGTCTGTGAGCTGAATCCCTTCCTCCATGTTGCCTTCCTTCCCCTGGGGCTAAATCCAGCTCCTTTGCCCCCAGCCACTGGCTGGGCTTGTGTGATGCACGGGACAGATGCTGGGCCATCCAGGGAGCTCTGCGGGCTCCGCCCCTGCCTGCTTGCCCACCTGATCTGCTCCGCCTGGCAGCTCTCCCCGCCCCACCCCCCACTGGCTCTCAACTTGCCAGGGTGATTGCCCACCTGGCACTCTGCTTGCCACAGTCTGTTGCCCAGCCTGACACATTTCCACTTCTCTGTGCCCAGGTCACTTGGGCCCAGCTGCCCAGGAAACTTGGTTGTTTTTTCCTTGCTGAGTCCACACCTGTGGTGCCTGCCCCTGCCTGCTGCCTGGCCCAGCTCCCATCTGCTTGCCCTTTGCCCTGCCATGGGGTCCAAATTCCCCTCCCTGAGCCCAAGGAGCCCTTCCCTCTCAGTGCTGCTAAGTTTTCCCAGTTCTCAGGACAGGCCCCTGATGGCATGACCTCCCCTGACCATCCTAAATGTCGCCTCCTGTGGGCTTGGCTTCTAGGGTCCAAGGCCGTGGGCTCCAGTCGGCCTTCTGTCACCTTCCCAGGAACACCTCCCACCCCCACCCCGGTATTGTGTCCCTTGGGAGCTGCCCATGTGAGGTCTGGGCTCTGCCCCACCCTAGGTCCTTCGGTTTGGGGGCCGCCACCTTGGCCTGTTGCTTGTCTTACTGCACCCCCTTCTGCTGCTGCTCCTCCCCATGCGCTACCTCCCTCCACCTGAAACTAAACCGCAGGTGAGACTGGGCTCTGGGCCTTTTCTGAGTGTGCGTGGCTCTTGTTGCAATGCTTGGCTGTAATAGTAACTTTATGCATGTCCCCTCCCCAGGGCCAGTCCGTGCTGGGCACACTGGCCTCCACCTGTCTGGGTGGGCTGGAGAACAGGACGGAAGACTCAGAAGAGCCCCTGAGGACCTCTCTCCCCTGGACCAAGCCCCCCTTCCGGATGGCCACCTGGCATCTCACTCCCAGCCACTTGCCTCTCCACTCCTTTCTGGTTTGGGGTGAGTCTCTTGCTTTCTTATGACACCATGATTTCATTAGGCTCAGCTCATGTCTCTGTTCAAGAAGGCACACATTTAATTTGGGGAGGGGACCGCTGCCGAGGGTGAATCTTCTTTTACTCCAACTCTGGCACCTGGGGGTCTGGAAACTGTCTGGAGCCAAGACCCTCTGCCCACTGAACCCCTTGCCACACCAAGCCAGCCTGTGTGGGGCCCACCCTGGGCCAGGCATGGTAAGTGAGTGACCAATTCTAGTCTGTGCCCCTGAGAACTAGCTTGGGCCAGACATGTCATTATAGGATCTCAATAAAGCTTGGTGAGCATGTTAATGAAATGAGTAATGGTGCACTTGCCCCCCACCCTCACCCCAAACCCTGCGAAGCCTGGTCAGAGGGATGGTGTGGGGATGTGGAAATGGGGAGGCCTGGCTGCCTTCTAGCTAGAAAAACATTTCTCTGCACAAGCCATGGAGACATCCGTCCCTGTGAGAATGCTGGTTTCTCACACATGAGGCTTTGATAATGTCCTTTAATCAAATAGTGGTTTTTGAGTGAGTTCTTTTCTTGGCCTCTTTTCCTCACCCCTGAAATTGCAATGAGATGGGAATGTTTTTGTTTGTTTAAATAAAATCAGTAATGGTAGAGAAGAAGAAAGCAGAGGATTCACTGCAGGACCCGTCATTGTTTATCTGTGCTCCACTTGTTCCAGAAATGTTAATGGAGTCGTGAGGACTTGGGGTTGGGGCCCTTCTGGGGTGCCTAAGAACAGCTTTGCCTTAAGGACCAGAGGGTCTCGTTGGCTGCCCTGGGAGGCCCCAGGCAGTTATATGGCCCATGTGGCAGTAAGCAAGGTAGACAGAAGTGAGGAGACTCAATGAGGGCACTTCCCTTTGTGGGTCCCAGCGGGGGAGCCCGAGGCAGGGCCCAGCCTGAGTCTCATGGCCAGGCAAGGGGGTGTTTCTCAGAGCCAAGCAGCCCAGTGGGACTGTGCTCATGTGTGGCTGGCTCTATATGTGGCATGCCTTGTATCTGATGCCCCCGGGGTTGCTCCTGGGGTGAGTGACAGTGTGCAGTCAGATGCCAGGGAGGGCTGCATGATGGGGTGAAGCTGCCTCGACACCCCAGACATGTGGGGCCTTGGTGGGTCCCAGCCCTGTCCTTGGTCCAGATGCTCACATGCCCCCTTGACACTCACAGGCTCTCTGTGAAGGGAAGGTGGTGGATCGAGCCCCATGCCAGAGCTGGGCCCCTCCTCTAGGCACACTGGCTGGTGTGTGGCCTGCTGCCCAGTGGGCAGAGTGGCCAGACCCCTGCGCCCACCTTGGGGTATTGGGCTTCCGTGGAAGCTTCTGTAACACTTTCATCAAACCGAGGTTTTAGGGACAGCTCTTCCGCAGCCCTGCCCTTCTCCCCTGCAGTGGAAAGGGGCAGGGAGTTTGTCTTTAAACAGAAGTGATCCGGTGTAGGCCGAGCGGGGCAAAGGAGCCCAAACCCAGGGGCTGCCGCCTTCGTCTGCTTGTTTTTACTCCCTGGAGAGCCCGGCTGGAGAGAGGTGCGCACTGTGTGCCCAGGGCTAAATCCAAGGAGGGGGCACCAGGGAGGCTCTGCCCTCTGATATTTACTCCACAGCTGGCATTTGCTGAGCCACCTGCAAACACAGTGACGTGGAGGACAGGCCTGGGAGGGGAGCGTTATGGGGCAGGATGCAGGCCTTGGAGGGGCTGGTGTATCCGGAGCTTTACCGGAAAGATGCGCAACTAGCCTGAACCAAATGCCCGCAGCCTCTAGACGCTTTCTTGGGGATATCCCAGGACCCTCTCAAGATGGGCTGAGCTGAGAGGCAAGTCAGGGGGAGGGACAGTCCTTAGCCAGTCCCAGACCCTCCCTCAGCGGTCCCCTCAACCCCCCCGGCAGTTTTGGGATGGCCAATTTTTGCACCTTGTATTTCAGGTACACTTGGGAATATTTAGTCTCAGACAGACATAAATTTTGGGTTTTGTGTGTCATTAAGCATAAAATAGATAAAAAAAGATTCAAGTTCTCAATTAAAGATGTTGAAATATAGTATCATAAATCAGCTTTGCAGCCGGTCACTCCAGGAATTGCAGAAAGGCCATTATTAAACGTTGAAAGAAATAATCATCTTCAGAAAAGTCTTTTTTTGATGGATTGACCCATCCCTGAGCAGGAAAGGGTGGGAATGAGACCCTGACCTGTCACCTTGATGGGACGGGGTTCTGGCCATTTGTCAGTGCTCGGCTGTTCCCCAGGGCTTCTAGCTGGACACTTCCGGGTGGACACAGGTGTCAGGGAAGAGACGGTGGTCATGTCTGACAGGGGGCCCTCCTGTCCCACCCGCCTCCCCCTGGGTGGATGGGCAGATGAGCCGAGGGCATCGCTCAGTGTGTGTGCTCATGGAGGGGAAAGCGCCCCCTTTCTCAGCCCGTGTTTCCCACCTGCAGGGGCTTGTGAGCTGATGGCGGCTTTCAGGACCCTGACCTCATGCCTCCTGACGTATGACTCAAACCCTAAATGTATTTACAAGTACATTCTCCAAATAGCATCAAAACCTGGCGAGACTTAAGGGCAAGTGGATGCATGTGTTTCTTATTCCTTCATTTACATGAAGTAACTCAAATGTGTTTTTTATGAGCAATCTGACTTCCAGAAAGAGAAAAAAACCCATCCACCCATCTTTAATGAGCTTGCTAATGACTTTTTCCTTGAAAAATGGAAGGCAGCTTTATGCAGAAGGGAGTGTGGAAGGATCCAAATTAAGGTCCCACAGGGTTAAAGGGCAGTGGATAGTGTAGAAACTGGCGCTGTCAGCTAGACTGGGAAAGGTATGGGGCACTGGGAGCACTTCTCTGCAGAGGGCTGGAGATGAACAAGTGTAGCTAAGTCCCAAGAGCTGGTTTCCGCATCCCCTGGCTGCTTAGAGCCTTGCCCCTCTCCTAAAGGAGGAATAAGGAGAACAGCTTGGTCTCCCATCCCTGGTTTGAGCAGATGGGCAATTCTGGAAAAGAGTTGTATCTTCCCAAAAGAGGCCTTCTAAAGTATGAGGTTCCCTCTTTGAAAGGCAGATACAGGCCTGGGTAGGGAAGGAGGGTAGGTTTGCACCAGGTGCCTGGTCCCAACAGGCAGGCCAAGACGGGGTCCTCTGGGAAGTCTGCGGGGAGGGACCTGCAGAGGCAGGCAGGTCCATGGTGTGGGCGGAGTCAGTGACTGTGCCAGGAAAGGTGTGACTGGTCAGAGAACTGCCCCAAGCAGGGTCCCCTCCCAGGTGCCCTTCAGGCACTGCAGCAGGCCAGCATGATGCTGCGGAGGGGGTCCTGAGTCCAGCTGGATCCAGCAGAGGTGGAGGGACCCCTTTTCTGTATGAGGGCAAGCTGCCCGGTGCCCATACATGCTGGAATTACTAGTGCTTTCTGGATTTTAGATAATTGATCCTGTATCCCAATCTTTACTGTGGAAAACTGATCAATCTAGCTGTGCTTTTAGGATGTATTTCTGTTTGTCTTCTCAGCCCACTTCACACCGGAGTCCTTGGTGGTCACGAGGGAGTGGTAGGCTGAGCAGGTGCTGGGCAGCTAGGCCGGGTAGGCAGGCCCCTCCTTGGGGCATGTGTGTGAGCGAGGAATTAATTAGGGAGAGGAGACTGGTGGAGGGCATGGTCATGACTCTCTTAATTGCTCTCCGATTTCTTTGGGTTTACAAAAAATTCCAGATGGAGAGCTCTTAAGTCCCCCACCCTGGGGGTCGGGGGAGAGGAGGGCTACCCACCACCTTCCGCCTGGCTTCTCTTTGCCCGTGAATAGGGTCTTTGGCAGGGGCTTAAGGAGGGGACTCAGCCTGGGGGCTCCCAGGGCTGTTTCAGATGGAAACAAAGGCTCAGGCAGAAAGGAATGTAGGGGAGCCCCCCGTGGACAACAGCCACCTGGGGATAATTGGGAGGGCTGAGTGCAGAGGAGTTTTCCCAGGTTCTGTGAATACATTCTTTCAATAGAAGGTGCCTTTTCTTCAGATGAAAAGAAGAAAACCTCAATTACCTTCCCCTGAAGCTGAGTGTGTGTGTGTTCTGTCCGGGGCTGCCGCGGCCCCTGCCCTTGTGTGTGTCGGGGGCTGCAGGCGCAGACAAGAGGCTGCACAATGGCGCGCTGAGCTGGTCGCCCCATGAGCGTGGCCCAGGACATGCTCGTGCCCTGCGGTTCTAGGGCTTTCTTCTTGTAAGTTTCTCAGGAGGATGAATCAGGCTGTGCCTGTAAACAAGAATTTGATCGGACCGGGCCTGATGCTGGAGAGATGGCCAAGGAGACAGAACTGCAGACCAGGAAGCTGGGGAAGGAGCGCAGTTAGGGACCAGGGACTGACGGCAGCTGTGCTGCCCTTCTGCTTTCCTGGCCCTTCTCTGGGCCATCCTGGGGGTGGAGACAGAGTTCCTACCTGGTTAGAGAATTGGCGGTGGGGACACTCAGAGATCCAGGTGGTTGCGGTTGAGGGGGATGAGGCAGGGATCAGCAGGCCCCAGGGCGCGGGCTGTGCTGAGCAAAGGGTCTCCGCGTTGGCTGGTGGGAACACAGCTTGCATGACCACTGCCCTGGGGCCTTGGCCCTTCTGAAGGAAGCAGGGGCAGAGTCCGTGCCACAGGAAGGAGTCCTGGGTCTCAGTGTCTCTGACTGCTGGCTCCTGGGCCTCAGTTTCCCCATCTGTCAGTGGAGGAAGTGGACTCTCAGTTCCGTGTATTTAGTAAGAAGAGGTGTGGGATGCCAATGCTGGAAAGGTGCTGTTTCACTGGGGTGGGGGCCAGAGGTCCCCAGGTGTCCAGATTGGTCCCCCCCAGTCTCCTGCCTGGGAGCAGGGCAGTACCCCCTGCTACTCTGGGCTTATCAGTCAGAAGAAGTTTTAAATGAGTGCCCTGTGCACAGGGTCAGGCAGCAGGCCTGGAGTGGCCTTCAGGAGACCTGGTTCCAGCCCCAGCTATGGGTGTGACCCTGGCCCTGTCCATGGGCCTTGGTTTTCCCATCTGTGAAATGGGGCATCTGAGGGCCTTTAGAGCTGCCAGCTTCTTCTGGCCGCCTCAGCGCTCATCTGTGGTTGTTTGTTTGCTGGGTCTTTGGAGTCGGAGGCTGGATGGAGATCACTGGTCCACGGCCTTGCAACCCTCTCTATTTTAGGAAACCAGAGGCCTGTGAGGGCTGGTGCTTGGGCCACGGCGGCAGTCCCTGGATGTGAAGCCCCCTGCTGGTGGCCAGCCCCGACTTGACTGAGACAAGCAAGGGGGTGGCAGTCATTAG